TTACCAAACAATGGTCGCTACATTGGGCTCCCCGTTTCACTCTAACATCTTGGACTTTGAGTGAAGTTACACAGTGTTAGTTACACAGAGGATGTAGATAAATATTTTTCCAATATTTCCCTTAAAGAGGTAACGTTGATAGTTGAATAAAGAGGTGAAATGACTCCGCAGGACATTCTAGGTGGCATTGGTAAGCCAGGTGTTCTATGAATATATTGTATCAATAACACATTATGTGAATGTGAGCTAAAGTATAATGTAAAATAAACAATACCAAATTTGAGATAAGAAATACAGAATCTGATTAGTTCAACCCTTTTCATAAAGTTAGCATTAAGATTATAAGAAATATAGCACCACTATACAGTAATACTGTGCTAAGGATTCACCAGACTTTGACAACAATCACCAATATAGTGCAAGTAAACTTGGGCTACATTGTGGTTATGTAGTACTTTGTATCTATTCTTCAAAATTAGATTTTTAATTAATGTCACATACATTGGGCCAATATTTTAAAAATTTAATAAATATTTATTGATTTGTTATTTAGAGGTTTTGTTTTTTAGAGAATATTTGGTGTCTAAAAAAGAAGGGAAAATGAGAAGATTCGATGTGCTATCCCAAAGTAGAATCAAGAAGCTCAGTTCATAGAGCGCTTGCATTATGACATTATGAAGGTCTCAGGTTCAAATTCCTATTTATGAAAGATTTTTTTTCTTCAACATTTTTCTTTTCTTGCTTACTGCATAGTTCTTACGAGATAAAAGTGAAAGTATTGTAATTCTCAGTAAACTCTCTGTATGTTAGAAAATTGCAAAACCATAATACTAATGACAGATAAATTTATTCCTTTATGAAATCTGTTTTAAACCAGTGGTGCTACTACATCACACAACACCACACATTTTCGCATTATTTGTAACTTTCGCAATTTTTTAAAATTCAGAGTTCAATGAAAATCAGACTAGCGCTATTTTCTAAAAATAATTTTTTTGCTCTATAACCTCAAAAATTTGAAGAAAAAAATTGGTTTGAGAAACCACAGCGTAAAGTGTCTTTATTTCAAGCAAAAATTACTCAAAAACTACTCGCCATTTCAAAAAACTTAACAGACTTATTTAAGACCTAATTCTTTGGAACAGATTCCATTAAGGAAAAACCTCTATTATTAATATTGTGCTTTTTCAATATTTGTTGGCAATTTTCAAAATTAGAGTTCGCAGAAAATGGATTGTGGAAAATTTTTCAATGTCCTTTGCTTGGTCCCAAGGGAAAAAATAAAAAAAATAGGGATTGATTTAAGAAAATACTTGTTTAAAATCACCCATTCTTCACCAAATTAAGCGAAAACTTCTTATATTTTCGAAAAACTGTACATGACTATATTCAAAGATGGCTTTGAAAAACAGATTTCATGCAGGAAAAAATGCCTGTCCACAATATTGTTGTTGCCTGTCCATAATATTGTTGAACATGCGGAAATTTGTTGAACTTTTGAGAGTTTCGAAAATTCAGAAACTTCAACGAAAATGAAACTTGTGCCATTTTTTAAGCGTCCTTTTGCTAATACGACGAAAAAGTTCAATTAATAATTTGGAGCTATTTTTGAGAAAATGTTGAGACTTCATGGAAAGTGCCCCCAAATATTCATTTCAAACTCGCAGGGCCTTGAGTTCATCCCGATCGGTCGGTCGGACACAGACAATTGGACATTTGCCGTCTCAACCAATTTTTTGGTATCAAGAACCAAAAAAAACATGTTAGGGGAAGTAATTTACTGAATGTAGGAATAAGATTTATCCACTTTTTTCATCACCAGGGCCTGACAATACGGGTTTTCTGTCGAAAAACCGCCAACTTCCGCAGCAGCATTACTGTACTCTCCCTTTACCATGCAGGTACATAGTAAGTAAGGGAAAAAGTAAATAAAAAAGTGGAAGCAAACATTCCCTGTCTATACCTAAATGCATTTCACTTCCTTTTTGTTTGTAGCACTGATGATTGAAAACTATCGGATGTACATTTTATCATTCTTATAGCGCTTATTTGTTTCAACACCACCATTACTGCTGATGTTTACATAAATTTGATATCGATGTTATACTGCCATGTAAAGTACCCACAAAAATTAAAAGATCTATTTCAAAATCAAGGGGCAGCAGCATTAGCCTGATCTGTCAAGGAATATCAATTTTGGTGGAAATCCTATGTACAGTTAAAGTGTTTTTTACATACAGACATTTTGAAAAACAAACAAACTAATATTCTTTCGGTATCAGAGACCCCAGAATTCTGACAGCAAAACATTACTTTCTTTACAATATGAATATGAGAAAGTCATAATATTGTATGCAACTCATTTGAAAAGTGTATTACAGTGTAAACAGCTGGAAACTGAAAAGGTTTGCTGAAACTTCACTTTTCTAGGAGCATGCATTTTATGGATTGCTGTTTAGGTTCCAATGTAACACGAGTCACCTATGTTCTGTCATCGGTGTCAATTTGGATCAAAATAGTCACCTTCACCACAGTACAACTAAAGGAAAGTCAAAATGCTTATATTTGAGGACCTTATCACATTTACTGAATGGCATGTGTAAAAATAAACCAGTTTCTATACATACACCCCAGAAAGTATTTTCAACACAAGTATCCTCACCTATAGGCAAAATTTTCAGCCTGTTTTCGAGAGCCAATTAGTTGCACAATGGCAAAGAATTGCTGATGCCCATCAAATTTTTCTTGTTTCTCAAGAACCAGCATGAAGTTATGTCCAAAACACGATTGCATCATCACCCAATCAACAGCACCAGGTAAATTAATGTCAGTTGCCAAAAACACTATGTCTTCTCCTAAAACAGAAATACAATATCAATAGACCATAAATAATATTACAGCACAAAAAATAAAAACATAAGATCACTCAAAATTATACATACATAATTCCGTAACATAGGAAAATAATATTGAAAGGCCAACCAGAAAAACGTGGCATAACTATAATTTAAGCAATATAAATTAAAAAGTTCATTGAAAGTAGCAAGATACCACTGAGTTTAATCGTGATCGTAGTGTCGGTGAAAACGAGTACCGAATTACTCTCAATCGAATAACATTGGTCACGTTTCTACGACAGCTGACGTAGAATATTTTAGTGTTTTAACATTTGAATAGGAGGAACTCCCGTCGGGGTTACTTTCCAACAGAAATCGAGGGTAATGGGTCCTTGGGCCTCAGGCGGAAATGAGCCCGCGTCGTAAGTACCACATGGGCGCAGCCAGGTGGGGTGCAGCAGTTGCCGCTAACAGAGGAGTTAGGACGCCTCTGTAACCCTTCACTAGTGAAGCACATCCGCGACTCGGAACTCCCGACTAACATCCTGTTCCCGGCGTCACCCACGTCGATAATGCGAGTAGTACACTGGGCAGAGGAGGTCATTAAGCCCCGGGACCATAATCTTCGGCTCCGGCTTCTGGGCTGATGTTGTAGTATACTCATTAGTATATTACAACATCAGCCCATCCCAAAATCTGAGGTAGCAGGTACATCCTGCTGCTTGACAGCTACTGCGTTGATAGTTCTTGCGAAGAGGAGCGGCCACGACCAGGCCTTTTCATGGAAATTGGGTAGGCCGGAAGGTTGCGTTTCTGGCGTATCCGAAATGCAGATCCGACGAGTCTTCAGACCTGGATGAGAGCCAAGTCAGGATTTATCTTCCGAACCGCTCCGTCCCGGGGCGGCACTTCATGTTAACCGGAAAGGGAACCTATGGTTAATGAAAGAAGAGAGGGATGAAAAACGAAAGAGAAAAGGAATGTGTACTGAACAGGAGGATTGAAATATGTTAAAAGTGAATAAATTGATGTGCACACAAAAAACGTAAATATTGGCTACGTTTAGTGTCTGACTAATTGCCCGTCAATAAGTGCAATTTCTTTTTTGTTCTATACTTATTTGTAGTAATTTTGTAATGTTTGCTAATGCAGCACGTTCCATATTTTCATCAAGCTGTGTTAGGACAGCAACGTTTTTGCTTCACTGACTACAACTATGAGTATGATAGCCACTGCTGACATTAGTGGCGGTTGCAGTAGGCAAGATAGGCACTGCCTACCATATTGAATATGTATTACTTTAAAACATATCGAAATAAAACTAGTGGCGCCAAAACAACACGTACTTTCTCGCCCTATTTTCACGCAAAATTGCGCAAAAAGTACTCAAAATTGTCGAAAAATTATACATGACCTTATTTCAAAATATATCTTTAAGGAACAGATTACATTAAGGCAAAAATTCTCTTTTTTTAATATTTTAGATGTAGGGATACTCCCAAAAATTTTAAACTTTTGTAATTTTCGAAAAATCACGGTTTTTGACGAACATGAGACCTGCATCATCCTCTTACACATTCTCCACACCATCCAACAACAAAATTTAATAAAAAACGATGGAGCCATTTTTTAAAACTTTTGAAAATATCCCCTGGGTTTAATGTAAAGTATCTTTCTAAATTAAAATATCGGCTTCAAATTCAACGAGCCGCGACATAAGCTACTTCGATTTAGGAATATCAATTTTGGAGAAAATCGGCTGAACGGTTTAACTGCTAGCACTGTTCACAGGCGGACCGACCTTTTGTCGTCAATCGATTTTTCGGAATTGAGGAACCACAAAACATTGATTCTATCTATACCACTTAAGAGGATTTTTTCTAAATTTAGCAACTGCATTTATCCGATTTTGCATAACCAAGACCCAATAATAAGATATTTTCTACCGAAAATGAGCCCCTTTTTCATATATTACACAATTTTCTCACTGCTCCGTAGCAAGAATGTAAAAATTAAATGACACAATTTCAATATGGTGTAATTATTATTTATCTTGAAAAGTCAAACGAACATTTCATTATCGAGGCATGAGCCACACTTTCATTTCAAGTGTTTTTTTAAAAAGCCCGTGCGCCATGCGATCAGTTCCCGAAGAGACTTGCGCCCCCTTGCACCTGTCAGGGTAGGCACATTCAGGCGCTGCCTCGCTGCGCGCTGGGCGTATACAACAGTAGCATGCAGTGTCCACGCTTGACGCATGCGCTTTGTGCAGAGGTCAGCGAATTCGCTTACTGCCTACCAGCACGCAAGACTCCGATTTCCATTCACATGCAAGCCGCGTAGCGCGTGTTTACTGTTTTGTTGAGTTAACAAACGGAGAAGGAGATTATTAATTAGAAAGTACTTATTTTCATTTTAAATAAGTATGCCGCTGATTAGTAGCGTTACTTCATTTTTTTATAGTTTAATCTTATTTTACAATTGTATGCTAGATTCAGTGAATGAACTACTACGTACACCGCTTTCTTATCTTAACGATGTAGAAAAGGGACAAAATTAGGACAATGAACGACCTACTCCTATGTTGAGTACGGTTGTACATCGTACTGGCGAGAAAAATGTAAGCAAATTCAATCCTTTGTGGTATCATTCAGACAAATGGCTAACAGGTCGTAAAGTTAAGCTAAGCTTCATTGTTGGCCATGTCTTTTACTGTCAATTAAGGATAGTACTAGGAATAGAGATAGCTATTTTGATAAGAAAATGTACCAAACGCTATTAAAAACATGAAATGTCAAAAGATCACAAAAGTAATTCAGTGAATCTTGACAATTGAATCCGAAATCTGAATTATGGTCTGAACAACGAACACGCAACTTTTTTTTTAGAACCTGAATACCTTGAAGTCACGTCTGCGCGTGCTTCATGGAAAAAATGCTTTGGAATGTAATGATATTAGTAAAACAATAGCTTTGAATACATTAATTAAAATTACAAATAATAATGATAATAATAAAAGATTGATGTGGGGCACGGTCCCCGTACCCACTTCCTTTCCGGGATCTTCCGCTTTTCAGTAATCTGTTTTGACTGCCCTGAACATGTGTTCGCGAGCTGTCACTAGCTGACTTTCTAATTCTCTAACAATCGGTTCTCTCCAATAACTCTTAATACCCTTTTTTTTATTTCAATAGAGGAAATGGTTCATTAACTTAGATAACACACCTACATTAAAGTTTTAACTGATCATGCTTCTGTAGATTTATGCATATAAGAATTTCAGAACTTAGCAATTGTATCGTCCAGTGAAAGAGCGAGCTAACCCACAAGGGTATGGAACTGAGATAAATTTTGAGTTTGGTTTGTTTTATCGATTATTTGCATAATAAAAGGGATGTTTGCCGGTCAGATGGCAGAGATCGTTAGGACACTAGTACCACAGCACATGATTTAGCAAATCTAGAAGTAGTTTATTTTACAGAGGGAGTCAGTTTACAGAGGGAGTATTTTACAGAGGTTTACACAGGAGCATTCAGACACAGGGCGTTGTTTGTTCTTGGGTACCGTTTTCCCTATCGCTTTTCTCAGAGCTAATACACACGGATCAATAGATTATTTTGTTTTCAAGCGCGTCAACTATTATTGTAATTACTCCCGTAAGTGTAGTGCATGCTATATCCCAGGATGTGTCCCCCGCTAGAACGTGAAATCCGGCGTCGATCTACTCGTCGGCTTGCGGGTTTCCCCTTCCAGGTATCTACGCCTACGGATCCTCTTCCGCGCCGGGACAAGCTACAAGTTGCTGTCTCGTCTCCCAACATAAGTAGTTGCGCCTGTGTCCGTGCGCTCGAGAATGTGTTATGTGCGCGTGTGCGTGAGTGTGATGCAACGGAAAACTGCGGATCAGAGAAGCTGGCAACTAGAACTCTCCTCCAGTCAGCGACTGAAAATGACAAAGTTAACTAGTTAGTGTCGGGTCTCGAACCTTAGACCCTACCTGCCAGGGACACTGCAGTGGGAATAGTTGTTGGCCTGAGCCATCTCAGCCAGTCACGGGGATCCTTGTTTCCTAATGAGTAGCTTTCATTCTTCATTGGTTTACCAATCTGTTATCTTGCAAAATAAGGAATACTGGAAGCCGGTGAAACTGACATGTCAAATCAGTATTGAACATCCGTGTCTAATACTGGTATATTTATATTGCAGACTTTACTTAGAATATTTCTTTTGGTGGAGTGAATATAGGATTTAACAAATACATCTGATGTTCTGGTGCTAATGTCGGTATTATCAATGACACACGTGAATGTGGAGTTCCTCTCCCAAGAAATTGTAGAAAATGGGCGTGTCACTTATTTTAAAACATCGATATATCAGAATGGATTATGATACATTTATGAAATTTACGGATTAAAAAGAGGAAAGGGGGAATATGAAAAAAGATTGTTTTGATTTTGTGGGTTAGCTCCCTCTCTCACTAGACCTCAATTCTGTTGAAGGTTACAAACGTGGCCACAAAGATAGATGATTCTCCGAATATTCTCTTCTTTCTGACGCGTGTGTCGGAAACAATAGTGTTCAAGACAGTGTTCAACATATACACGATTGTAGTAGTATATGTGACTCAATAAATATTACAGGCAAGATTTCACAAAATTAGTCGTGTCCGTTTCAGCAAAAGGCTTACTAATATCTCACAGTCGTGAGATGTGAAATGTTTTCAGCCAGAAGACAATTTCTTTTGTCAGTTCCCATGTTAATCATGAAACCGAATACTCTTTTCACTTCTGCGGACCTCACTAGTTTTATTATATTTCTTGTCATTCTTACTGAATTTGGAACTTTAGCACTCCTTGAAGGTACTTATCATCAACTACATCTCCAAATTCATTGACAGAAACGGTATGGCTTTTGAAACTAATATAGTTCACCTAATATCTTCCCCATCTTTCCAAGGAGACACAACAGACTATGTTGTGGAGTCCAACAAATTGAAAAATTAAAATCACATCACGATT